TCAGCGATGATGTCGTCAATATGCTCAGTGCCGACTGAAAGACGAATGGCATCTTCGGTGACACCAGAGGCGATTCTTTCTTCCTCAGTCAACTGCTCGTGGGTTGTTGACCACGGGTGGATGGCGAGGGTCTTGGAATCACCGACACTGTGTAGAAGATCTATCAGCATTCTCGAGCCGCCTCGGGTTGGACAGGATGTAAACTCACTTGGCAAGGTTTGAAATCAACTTAAAGTTATCAACAACCTCGCTACCTGCTGCAGCGCCTCCCTTAACACCGAATGATAGCACGCCACCAAAGCCACGTTTGAGGTACTTCTTCGCAGTTTCGTGGCTTGGGTGGCTTTCGAGACCGGGATATGAGACCCAGGCAACGTTCTCGTTCTTCTCCAGCCAGCGAGCAAGCGCAATTGCGTTACTAGCATGTCGCTCGCCTCTCAAGCTCAACGTCTCTATACCGAGAAGAATTTGCTGGGCGCCGAATGGGTTCAAGGCAGCGCCCAAATCTCTAAGGATCTCAACACGCACACGAATAGCGTAAGCGATCGAGCCGAATGTCTCCCAGAACTTGAGGCCATGGTATCCCTCGGATGGCTCGATAAATTGTGGGAATCGCTTGCCATGCTTGCCCCAGTCGAACTTGCCGCTGTCAATGACAACACCTGCAATGGTGGTTCCATGGCCACCAATCCATTTGGTGGCACTGTGAACGACGATGTCGGCGCCATGCTTGATGGGCTGGCAGAAATAACCACCTGCACCGAAAGTGTTGTCAACCTATCATATAGTCAGCACTGGCGTTACATCGCGATGTTCTCGCTGCTACAGCCGTTTACATACGATTAAAGGCACACCCTTCTCATGGGCAACTTTGGCAATAGCTTCAAAGTCAGGGACATTGTAGCGTGGGTTACCGATGGTCTCGATATAAACTGCCTTTGTGCGGTCGTCAATCGCAGCAGAAATGTCCTCTGGCTTGTCACCGTTTACGAATTTGGTCTGAATTCCCAAGCGTGGGAGCATGACCTTGAACTGGTTATAGGTACCGCCGTAGAGGTTCGTGGTAGAAACGATGTTGTCACCCTGGTGGGCTAGAGCAGCAATTGCCATGAATTGAGCAGCCTGGCCGGACGAAGCCGCGACGGCTGCAACACCGCCTTCAAGGGCCGCGATTCGCTTTTCGAAGACATCGACAGTTGGCTACGGGAGATAATGGCCCAATTAGCGTCTGCACGTTGCGGAAAAGGACGCTGAAAGAATACAAATTGAAGAACAAGGCATTCACATACGTTCATAATACGGCTGTAGATGTTGCCGAATTCTTTAAGACCGAAGAGTCTAGCGCCATGAGCGGAGTCATTGAAGGTAAAAGACTAAGAAAAGCCATCTGTTAGAACTCTCTCAGGTACTCCTACTGTTGATTCAAACATTGCACAGGAAACTAACAGTAGTGGCATAAATTGGCACTGCACGGGCGTTCGTCGTGGGATCGGGTTCCTGGCTAGCGAACGACTTAGCGGGGTGGCTCTGAAGGACGCGGGGCAATGCAGGCTCACCCGGCGTGCAATTGCAGCGTCTCGAATTTGTGGGAAGACTGGTCGGAAGCCATTGTGAAGAATTTGCAATGCAAAAGATTTTTACTCTAAGGTATGTCAAAAGTATGAGGGTATCCGTCTGGCACACAATGAGGTTGGCGGGGTAGGCTTTTGCGCTGACGCCAATCGAGGGGAGGGGGAATAAGACAGGGAATTGACAAAATAAAAATCTACTGCAGAAAGAGTCGCAAGCGGTCGCACACGTTACTTATATAATTGTCCTGGTTTAGATCAACGCTGGTTAACCCGGATTATCGTGGGGAGAAATAGAGAGCCTAAGATATGGCTCTGATGGCGTGATCGAAGTTAATTTTAAACTGGAACGACTTCAGCGAGTGACACTGCACACTTTCTTTCTTTTTTTTTTTTTTTAATCCCGAGAGCTAACAAGACTGCTAATAAGCGATTCAACTGGTGTATTTTGGGGTTCAAGTGCTGCGAAAAACGATCCACGATGTCGAATTCGTAAAATCGGCCCCTGCGCGATGGCGCATGTAACTACCTATATGTATTGCACCATCAACGTTGGGTTTTGACGTAGCCCTCAACCAAGCAAGCTCAGGTTGTGCTCTGGAATGAGAAACAATACAAGTCACCCATCGTTCAACGGCCGCTCGCATACCTATGCTCTTTAAAAAAAAAAAAATCCTCTGCACGGCAGTTCGCCAAACACTCGTATCCCAAGATCGACATACATATTAGAGGGGTTGCATTCGTGCTCGGAGCCTATCACGGCTGCAGGCGCCCGGGACCGCTGGGACTTCGATGTCTTGCAGACTGTGCCGAATCTCGTCCCGTGCTTCGATGATCAGGTATTTTGCCCAACACATTTAATGCTTCTCGCCGCGCTAGCCTGTTCGGATGATAAAGGGGCCTTGCAGTGTACCGCTTCCGAGGCTGGTTTCCGCCCAAATCCTGTGCTATATGGACTTGCGGATGTTGAAACCAGCATGGTCGTCGCATCAACAAGGTGTTGATGAAATACAGATGAAAGCGAAATCGAGTCCCTTCCCCATTGGCTAGACTGCCTTTTCTCGACCTCAGAAATTTTAACAAGCCTTGGAGAATACCAGTCCTATGGGGATATATTTGATGGATCCAATCTCCTTTGTCTTCCTCCTTCATTCATTGCCCAGAGCCTGTTCGGAGTGGATAAAGGAATGAGAAAGGACGTACGCAGGTTATGTAGGCTCCTTGTGCTCGGGAACGGAGCTCGATTATCTGTTAGGGCTCCTGGGAATTTTTTGAGAAGCGTCAGCACTCATGTTGTTATTTTATTTTTATTTTTATTTTATATATACTCCGTATATATATTGTTTGTGGGGGGGGGAAGAGAGTCTGTTGTCAATCATTGACATCAGATCCTGAATCCTGACTTCGGCTCAAGTCCTTTATCCATTTCTTTGCAGACACTCTGCACTGAGGACGGAGGACTGCCGGACCAAAATACATTAAAAAAAAAAAATCTCGAGCCACAATTGGACATATGAATAATCTGTGAGGTACGATCCCCGGTCAAAGAACTTTTGCTCATTTCAACGTTCCCTGTAAGAATCGAATTTCTCTTCAGTCAGGGAAGAATGTGGTTGTCCGGCGCGAAAACGCTTTATTGGAGCTGCGTCAACGAACTTTCTCTTCTCATCAGCTCAAGAAAAAAAGGCCGGGAACGCTCGAGTTGATAATACGAGAGTGGAGCCGTTCACAAAGCTTAGCTTGACGAGAAGGACCAGCATCATTGGCTGATCCTCATCTCTTCTTGTTTCTGAATACCTTGGCGGAAGAGATTTGTGTGGATGAAAAAAGACCCTGATGGACACCCGAGAGCTGAAGGGGCCCTTTGAAGTTCCCTGCCTGGCTCGGTATAAAGCGCAAGGGGTATGGAGTTCCCAGCGCTTCCTCCTGATGGATGAGTGGCAGCGCTTGCTGTTCGTAAAGTCCAGTCAGTTTCTGTGGTCAAGCAAAGGCTAAAGAGAGCCGCCGGGAACACGAGGACGGCGTTTTCCAAATCCCGGGTCACACCAAGGAGGGAGGACGAGGAGCCAAGAGAGCTTTTGGGAGGATTTCTAAACTTAGCCTGGCGCTGGAGTGATTTCTCACCGAAAAATTTCGAGTAATTTGGGCGTCCACACGGGCCTCGCGAAGGGCTGATTCCGGAGAACTCCACCCGGGACATGAAACCCAATCTCAAGTGAATAATAGCCGGGAGAAGTCTGGTTCACGATAATTCACGCTCTTGGAACGGGGACACCCAGCGGCAAACGGCCGACGCGGCGATACCTCTCGCGCTTCGGGTGGACGGCCTGCGAGCGCCACGAACGACGACGTCATGAGGCTGGCCCTGCGTTGTGGCTTGTTTGTGGGACTGGTCGCTGAGTCCTCCGTAAGGCCTGTATCGGTACTGTTGTCTTAGCGGGAGGGATGCCTGTATCGGGCTTGCGCTAATGTACCGATTGCGGGGAAGAATCATCGTGGTGTCACTCTCAATTGGCTGGATCCAGAGAAACGAGATTATCGTTCGTGTAAGGCAAAGACACGCCACTGTTCTGTCCCGTAAGACAGGGACAGGCCCATCTTATGCCCTCCAGGCATGCGCCACATGGGCCAGCGCGAGTGGGGCTGGTGCCGTGTCTGCAGCTGAATTTCTGCTGTCGAAATCGGTTTTACGAGCAGAGATCGCGACGGGTGGAGGGTGTTCCTGGTGTATTTCCAGGGAGAAAAGGCCATGAAGGGGTTGATTTTTTTTATTCTGTATATTCATATTATTCTACCGCGTTGACCTGGCTCTGGTCTGGAGGTGATTATCGCTGTCAAGCTTCAAGCTCTCCCAACAGGCACCATCCACGTCGACACACGTCATTGTTCCAGGCACTGCTCATTTTTCTGTGGTTGCTTGCTCGAAACTTTTCCAGACTATTGCTTTTGTTGTCAAGTGACCTAGGCCATTTAGAAAGCGGCTAATTAAACAAAAAAAAAAAAAAAAAAAAGGAATTTTCGTTGATATATTTACGCCCTCCACCGCTGCTTTGTACTGGAGGCAGTTATTTACAGCATTATTGGCATATATCTGGGAGTGTCATTCTCAAACACTCCTCAGACCACCACAAGGATAATACATACTGCTACTTCTCGCCCATCAGCCACCCGAGAAAGCGACTAACTCGTAGCACTCAAAAGGTAAGTCGGGATATCATCAGTTCTCGATCACATGTTCTTTCGTATTTGCTTCTTCCCCGCTGGTTTGCCCCTCTTCTGCTCTTTCACGCCATTCATATATATCTGTCGGTTCTGGCTCTCTATGTGATAGGTGCAGTGACTAATAGAGTCTGCAGAGCCATATTCCATACCTCAAGGAGTACTCCCTCCAGTATATCGACAACACCTAGACCTAGCCTTCCTCTACAAGACATGGAGCGCAACCCCATTTCACTCGCCATTCGCGGCGTCCAGGCCTTATTCGGCATCATTGTCCTTGGTCTCACTGCATATAGTCAGTCTAACCTGTTCTGACAACAAGTGTTAACACAATACGGTGTACAATATGCGGTAAACGGCCTCTATAGAGCTAACAAGTTTCTCGAACACAGTTGCTTCCGAAGGGTCCTTGGATTCCTCCAACTTCCTGCTCTTCTGCGGTCTATGGACAGCTTTCATCGTTGTTCCCTACATGCTTCTCGCTCCTACATACGCTCCCGTAGCCGCGCATCCCTTCGCGATAATTGGCGTTGATGGCGTAACCATGATTTTCTGGTTCGCAGGCTTCATTGCTCTAGGCTCCAAACTTCCCTCTCCCAGATTCTGCACTTTCAACGCGTGCCGTGTTCTCCAGGCCGCAACTGTGTTCGGCTCCTTCGAGTGGTGCGTTCGGGCTCATATATCCTAGCCACGACTATGCTTCTCAATACTGATTGCACTTTCTTCAAATAGGGTTCTGTTTGTCGCTACTCTTGCTCTCGCGGTTCTTCCCGTCGTTCGAAACCGTGGAACACCAAAGCCGAATGAAAATGTACCGCAGCCGAGTATCTAGAAAGGAAAAAAGAGAACGAATCAGAATTCAACCCGAAGTTTAAGTTCCTCCCGCACCCAATTTTCTGAATAACCCCTCAACTTTTTATTTTTATTTTTATTTTTTTTTTGGATGGCTATGAATATCCAAACGAACATAATATTATCTGCTACCTAATGCGTCCATTTACTTTATCCAATAACTTAACTTCGGTACCATTTCTTTGCTCTTGCCCTTTTTTCTCCTACGGCTTTATTGTGATTGCTCTATACCCAAAAATGTTTCTATGGAGCGCTGTATGTATGTCCCTAATACAACCGCATAACTAATGAGTCCTCCTTTGGAAATGAGTTAAATAAGTTTCCTCAAAGTACCTTCTAGAGCTTCCGAGCATTCTACTATCTCGGGTCCGGACCAGCATCACACATGTGTCCAATTATTCATGTCCACCAAGGTGGCGAAACTGACGCCACCACGAGCGGCTTCCTGGCCGAATGAATTGCAAGGATAGTACTCCGTATTATCGTGCCATTCCCCCATTTTCAACAGCCAATAGTTTACGAACTTCTTCTATATCTCTCGCTTGCAGCTATGCCGTATGCGCGTATAATACGACAAGTAAAAATTGGATATAGAAACTTCAATTAGCTGAGTTATGTTATATACATATACAAATATTATTAAAGCCATGCAAGTCATCTTAAGGGAATCGATATGCAAATGAGAGTATACCACATAATCAAAAGAAAAAGAAATTTGCACTCCAACGATTTCAATAGCTCAAATCAACTTTATATGCATAGAAAGAGGAAAAAAAGGGGGTGCGAGTGGGAAGAGGTCTCAGAGGATACGATCCTGTATTGATGCCTCCCTGCTTGAAGATCGCACTCAGGGGGGTATAAAGTGGTTGAAGTGGAGTCTAGCTTCTAGTATATTGATCATTCGCAAGTTTGACTACTGGGCCTCATGGCGCGCAAGCAACGGGTGGGGGTCACGATTTTGACGCCAAGAAATCAGCCGCCTACATCATTCCAGGTCAGTGCTCCGTGCAACCTTCATTGATCAAAACTATCTGATAAGACAACTAACCTTGTCAAGATTATAATCAAACTTTTCGAGCGCCGCTAACGACTCGTCCCGGGGATAGCCCATGGAAGTCAACCGCTGTAATATCAAGTCATCTTCGCCCGAATCTGCATTCAAGGCCCACCCAGGTTGCTTGGATTGGCCGGTAGGACTTGCTGTTGTCGGCACAGTCGCTTGCGAAGGCTCCGTGGACGTAGGTGGTGCAGATGTTGAAAAATTCGCTTCTGACTTTCCTACACCCCCTTGTCCTTTCGCCTCGTCGAGAACGGAGAACAATGCATCCCAGTCGTGCGAAGAGGGTTGCTGCGAGAGGGATGAGGCGTTCTGCTGGGTTACTGGTTGTTTTCCATCCCCTGAGGAAGAGCCTCCCGCAGAATTGAAGCTGAAAAAGTTTGCGTTAGCACTATCATTGATATTTGGAGCGTCGGCAGCCGCGTTCGATTTAGAAGGTCCAGGAGAGTCGAAAGTCATATCGAAATTAGATGGGTCCTTGTTGAATGGCGATTCGAAATCGTCTTCATCGTCATCGTCATCTTCGGCCTCTTTCGCAGGCGTGAGGTCCAGACCCGCAAAGGCTGCTTCAAAGTCGGCAGGTGCCTTAGACACACCTCCTATGATGGGAGCACCGGTGGTCGCATCGATAGAATGGGGTGCATCCCCAGGCGCAGTTGGGTCTGTTCTACCGGGAAGAAGATCTCCGAACTCAGGTGGCGCTGTGCCAGTTGGTTGTTTCGATGCGCTTCCATCGTAACCTGGAGGAGACGGTTGAGCGTCTGCGCCAGGTAGTGGTGTAGCTTCGTTTGGAGGGAACGGTTGAATCTCTTTGGTACCATTGCCTCTTGGTGGGGAAATCGGAGTAAAGTCATCATCAAAACCAGCTGGAGCTTCACTATCGGTGCTATCGTCATCGTCCTCTAGCTCCCTGATGGGCGGGAACTCGTTAGAACCGCCTGCCATTTGTGCCTCATTGGCAGAATCTTTCTTAGGATCCTTCTTCATTGCTGCAAATGCCTCTTCAAAGTCAAGAGCCTTTTGTGACTGGGAGCGTTCATGAGTGCGTCCTGCGAATAGCTCATCGAAGGTAAAGTCCTTCTTGGACGGTCCTTGCGGTGAAGTCGCAGCTGGGAATGCGCCCGGTATTGTAGACTGTGTTTCGTTTTGAGCTAAGCCTTCATTTTCTAGAGATTTTTTTTTATTTACGTTTTCAGAGAAAGGGTCCCCGCTTTCAAATGGCGAGGTCTCTTTTGAGTTCGAGGGCGGTGCCGCGGCTCCAGCTTGTAGGTCGTCGCCGAACCTGCTTCCTGCCGGAGAAGTTTTAACAGACGTGGACTGCGATTCTTTATGCCCTTCGATAGGAAGTTCGTTAGGTGTTAGTTGTCTTGACCGTGGAGGAGGTGGAGGCTCAACGGCATCAGGAACGTGATCAAACGTGGTGGACGGGGATTGACCCTCATGCGTAGTCGATGCCGTCACAACATCGGCAGATTGGGGTTGCGGGGTGGAGGCCTCGGTCCTGAAAGTAGTGGGCGGTGGAGGAGACGTTTTTGAAGGGGCGGAAAATGCTGCGCCGAACATATTATCAAAGATATTTTGAGCAGTATTTTGCCCGTCGCCACCAGTATGATTCGCAGACAGTGCTTGGTCGGTTGATGCGCTTGGAGTCCGCTTAAAAAATGGATTTGTTCCTTGGCTAGCATTGGATGCTGCAGGGCTCGTAACTGGTGGTGGACTGGTCTGCCGTTCGGACTCTTGAATCTCCTTTCCCATGGAATTTATTTCTTCTTGAATTCGATCTCGTTCTCCTTCCACTGCGGCAAGCTGTTTCTTGTTAATCGCAGCCAGTCCTTTCTGCTGTCGCGCTTCTGATCGCGCTTTTTCGAGCTGAGGTTTGACTTGGCTGATTTGAGCATTCACCAGCCGTATCTTCTCTTTCAGAGTTGCGTTTTCGCGCTGATCTGCCTCCAGTGCAGCCGAAACTTGATTGAACTGGTTTTGTAGATCTTGACGGCTACCATCAACCATGGCGAAATCTTGCTGTAGCTTTTTCGTTTCCGCCTTTGAAGCTGCTAGTTGTTCTTCGAGCGCTTTGAAACTCTTGACTTCTTGCTCGTACATTGCCCTGGCTTGCGCAAGGCGAGTCTCAAAGTCTCGTTTTTGTCGGTTCGTTTGAGCTAAATCCTGCTCTGCATTCCCACGCTTGGCTTGAACGTTTTCCATCTCTCTTGACAATGTGCTAACCTGGTTTGAAAGGTTGGCAAGCTCTGTTGTCTCTTGAGTTAACTTTTTGCTCTCTTCTGGATCAGCGTCTCCAAGCAGGTCATCTGAAGGTTGAGGTGAGCGTGGCTGCGCACTCGTGCTTGATAATCCAGTTGCATGGGGCGTGAGACTTTGGCCAAATGAAGACGAAGGAACAAAAGGTTTAAAAACATTAGCTGGAGGTGGTGGACGCATGGGAGATGAGGGACTTTGAAATGAGGGATTGGACCCGCCTGTTGACTGGGACGTCTGAAGCGGTGCGGTAAACACATCGAGCCCAAACAAGTCTTCAGCGGCAGATCGAGCACCAGTGGTCTGTGGCTGTATAGGCTGCGGAGGTGGAGCGGATTGCCGTCGCATACTTGGCGGGACCAAAGCAGGTGGTAGTGACTGCGGGAGAGGTTCCCTTGTAGTCCGTTGTTGTCTTACCAAGTACATTGCTACTGCGAACTCATCCTTGCTTAATTGGCCATCGGAATCAATATCGGCGAGATCCCAAATTTGTGCTAGAGTTTCTTCGGATAATTGTGCGTTTGCGAAGAAACCAACGGCATCGTCACCGCTCAGAAATCCAACTTTACGCTTATCCACAGTGTTAAATATTGAATCAAAATGCGACTTCTCTTGAGGGGTGATCAGCCAATCGCTACCGGTGCCGTGGGCCGATAATGGGCTCATTGGCTGTCGGTTCAGGGGGCTTTGTGTTCTATGAGGCGCCGAACCTGTAAATTGCTTTGGTATGGCCGGTACGGGAGGTACATCGGAGGAGCGTGAGCCAACTGATGTGCGCACATCCCCTCGCCGACAAGCCGCATCATAGAGTCCCGGTGGGAGAGATTGTGGAACAGTGCGCATCGTCCCCATTTTGAATGCTGTCAGGAGGTGCATCGCAATGATAAACTCAGTAATATCCAAAGCACCCCGTTGCTTTGTATCGGCTAAGTTCCAGATGCGTCCAAGAATTTCATTTGGGAGCCGCGCGCGTTCGAATATTTGTTTCGCAGTTTCCCCTGTTCAAGCCCCATTAGGAAACTAAAATTTAGGACCACCAGGTTTTGGAGCCTGTACCTGAGATAAGGCCATTCTGAGTATCAGACCGCTCGAAAAGGGAGGAAAACTTGGCAATATCTTCTTGATTCAACGGTGGAACTCTGGTAGGACCAAGCGCTGGGGGAGGACTGCCTGCTGATGCGGGTGGAGGTGGCTCTGTGGTGATGCCAGTGAATTTTGGCAGCGGGCCGGCTGTCGAATTCCAGCGAGATAAGAGTCAGCTGTCGAGGTAGGCAATATAACGGGAAGACACACTCACGCTGATACGCCAATTCTTCTGTCGGAGCACGACCTGCTTGAGCATGGCCGATCAGTCTCAAGACGATGCCGAATCCAGACGGCGTTAAAAGGCCGCGGTTCTGTTTATCTGCAATTTGCCATATCTATTATGATATAGAACTCAACTGTTAAAGCGAATTCGAGACTTATTCCCATGCGCCCCAATCCGTTGTAAAAGGGGCGGCGGGGCGTCTTACCAAACCCAACGTTTCCGCAGGCAGATTGGTCTTCTCAAAGAATGAGACTGCGACTTCGCCGGTAACAACGCCCAGATTTGTTTTATCCGCGGTTTGAAATAGTTGATAAAATACTCGCTTCTCCTCCGGTGTCAAATTCAGGTTTGGATGTAGTCCTGCAGCTTGCACCCCAGAAACATCATGGGTTAGTCCATGCGGGCGTGAAGTTTCAAGAATCTAAAGACAGTTCAAGCCCGGGAGAAATAGATAAGAGCCTCACCTTCCGCCATGGCTCTAGGATCCCTCCTGGGATATAAATCCCGTTAATTCCCCCTTGCTCAGCGACAGGTACGGTTCGATTGCAATGTAGGTCGTAACCGCAAGATGGCAAGTACTAACACAGAGAAGAAAGCTTTACAGAGCAGAAAAAGTAGCACAGATCTAATATGCAAAGGCTAGAAATCAACGAAAAAAGAGGCCTGCCTTATATCGCGCGACTGCAGTCGTCGTCGGAGAATGTCGAATGTCGCTGGCTTGCGGGATGACCAGGGGAGGTAACTAGCGATTGGGCTGGCTTTCGTAACAAACTGGGGAAATCTCAAGCTCAATTGTGGCTGCGTCCAATCAGAGGGCGATGCTGGCGCACAGCCAATCAATTAAGCTGTGGCTCACCGCCAAGGATGACTTATGTAATTCCTGCGACGTCATCCGCTCAGAGCAAGCCGGCAAGTGGAATTGATTGCACCCTACTCCGTACACAGTACCAGCAAACAGAGAATGCAGAGTACCCGGGGGGGGTTTTCCCATGCAAATACATCTGTGATTTCTGCAGGAGAGGCAAACAATACAGGAATTCGAGAGGTGGTTATATCTGTCACTGCTGCTGGAAGCTCAAAATGAAAGAATATAAGGAATTGGAATAAAGCCACTTCACATCCATCGAAAGAAGAAATACTGATTGGGCCAGATTAAGTTATTGTATTAATTAAAAGGAGTGGTATGATATTGTCCATGAATGCATCAGAAATGCAGGATGAAGAGACTCGGAGATAATGGGATATAAGAGAAAATATTTTCCGATGTTTTAGTATTCCTCTTCAGGCTCATCCTCCACAGAATCCCTTGCAACTTCGTCATAGTCGCGCTCAAGAGCAGCAAGATCCTCACGAGCTTCGGAGAATTCACCTTCCTCCATACCTTCGCCCACATACCAATGGACAAAGGCACGCTTGGAGAACATAAGGTCGAATTTGTGGGACAGGGCGGACCATGCTTCGCCGATGGCGGTAGTGTTTGACAACATGCAGCTTTTTCAGACGTCAGCAGGGCATCCCTCCACTTGACTGGGGATTTACTTACACTGCACGATCAACCTTGGCAAGATCTCCATTGGGAACTCTTTGTGGTGGCTCGTAGCAGATACCGATCTTGAAGCCAGTTGGGCACCAGTCGACAAATTGGATAGTGCGCTTGGTCTTCAAAGTGGCCACGGATGCATGCACATCTTTGGGAACTACATCACCACGATAAAGCAGACATGTGGCCATGTACTTACCGCTACGGGGATCACATTTGACCATTTGACTGCTGGGTTCAAAGCAGGCCATGGTAATCTCCTGAACCGAGTTGGCTTCGTGCGCTGCCTTAGCCGCGGAAACAACTGGTGCGTATGAAACCAGAGGGAAGTGGATACGAGGATATGGCACAAGGTTGGTTTGGAATTCGGCCAGGTCAACGTTCAATGAGCCGTCAAAACGGAGGGACGCAGTAACCGAAGACACCACTAAATTTAATCTGTGTTGGTAAAGCCAGTTCACAACCAAAATCTTGAAGATGGCGCCTCATGCTTGAAATTCACGCACCTTGTGCAATCAAACGGTTCAAATTCTCATAGCTTGGACGTTCGATACCCAAACTCCGGCGGCAAATATCGTAAATGGCATCATTGTCAACCATAAAACTGCAGTCGGAATTTTCCAAGGTCGTGTGGGTGGTAAGAATAGAGTTGTAGGGCTCGACGATGGCGGTGGCATTTTGGGGAGCGGGATAGACACAGAATTCAAGTTTAGTCTTCTTTCCGTAGTCCACAGCCAATCTTTCCATCAAGAGGGCGCCGAATCCGGATCCAGTTCCACCACCGAAGGAATGGAAGACCAGGAAGCCTTGTAAACCACTGCAGTTATCGGCAACGCGTCTCACTTTGTCCATGACCTGGTCTATCATCTCTTTTCCAACGGTGTAATGGCCACGAGCATAGTTGTTCGAGGCATCTTCCTTTCCAGTGATCATCTGCTCCGGGTGGAAAAGACTACGGTAGGGCCCAGTGCGGACTTCGTCGACGACATTTGGTTCGAGGTCGCAGTAGATTGTTCGCGGGACGTATTTACCCTGTCCTAAATCCATAACGAAGCAAGTTAGCACCATAGGAAAAATCGGGGCCTATTTACACACCTGTTTCAGAGAAGAAAGTCTCGAAGCCGTGATCACGATCACCAGCTTTCCGTTCTTCGTTCAGATATCCATCCGCCTACCCGGAAATTCATGTTAGTACTCTATAAGGACTTATTATATCGTAGAACAAGAAATAGACGCTGAGTTACTCACCTGAATGCCATGTTCAAGACAATACAACTATATCACGCACCACAAAATGTTAGGATTGATAGATTCCACCTTCTGCGAGTGCTTCATGAAAGTGTTAGGAAGAAACATACCTCCCAGCAAGAATTTGCCATCTGACAGCCAGCTTGGCCAACTATATACCAGTTTCGCGTCAGCAACGAACCCCCCAGGATTCATAGCTCAAGAGCTAATATGGTGGCAGGGTAATAGAGCACAGACCGTTCAAACTGATAACTTCTCTCATGATGGGCAAACAACAAAACTCTGAGCAATTATCTGTTCACAGATCACTCCAAAACAATAAGCCACCAACTTAAGGAGTATGTCAAAAGATGAAGGTGACTCTGGTGTGAATAAATGAGAAAGTTGTTTTTTTTGGAGGTTCGTAGAAAAAGAAAGCCTGAGGTCACGGAGAAATATTTCGGCCCAACCAAAACACCCTAACCAAGCACTATGCACCTTGTTCCCACCAAGTAGCAAGTAAGTTCAACTTAGTAGTAACGGAAACCAGCGTCTTTTATACTCTCTTGTAGATAGAGACACTAAAGTTTTCCAAAAGTAACTGGTAACTATAGCAGCCCAACAATTGTTGCCAAAACCAAAACAACAGCTATAATCTGTGTAGCTATGCCCTGGTGTAGTTCTTCCCAAGCCGTTGTTTACTTTTCCCTCCTTTTGTAAGGTATTGTTGATTTTTCAATTTATGAGCCAATCATCTTCCGCCAACGTGCAATTTGGAGCGAGCCATGCCCTCTGATTTGCTGGTTCACGTTCTGATTTCCGTAACGTAACTTTTAACCACAGATGACTAAACACTCTCCGAACCTTCCAACACATCATCTCGGCACGGGATGATTCGAGATATCAGGGGGATGTGCCGTCATAAAGGTAGTTTTGGTTTGAGATTTGATCATCTGCATTCTGTGAATCTTTGGAGGACCGCAATTTGTTCGGTATGTCTACATACTCATCGTTAAAAACTGTATATTCCTTCTTGCTTCTGGAGGCATGCTCCCAAGAGTGCAATCATTCGTATATTTTGATGATACCCATTTACCCGAGTTCTTATAACACGGGGAACACATGTGCTGCATACAATGGCTAATGTATATTCTGAAGTTAAACGGGACTCTATAAGGTGCCTAGGCCTATGGTTTGACGAGGGTCCTGCGGGCATACATTCTGGGATAGCATGTGCACGGTCAATTTGAGAACTCAGGCCATGCTGGCTGTTCTATTCCTCCTATCTCTCCTTGTACAATTGGTGTTGGCAAACGTTGAGAAGACAATTTTTATCGCACCCCAACCAGACTCCGCTGAGCTGCCATCATCATTATACAATGAGGAATTCTCCGGATTAGACGCACTCTCTCCATCTATACCGTCGATTAGGAGACATCTCAACGCTTCTTTTCCATCCGAAACCGCTCCCATGGGAGCGAAATCCTGGGTTCATCTCCTTAACTTGAATCCTGGGCAACGATATGAAGTCCGCATATGCTGGCTTGCAACCGTAAGTGCTCAATTCCTCCAATTTATAGATATGTCTATTACCTTAGAGGCTCATCATCAGCTCCAGCAACCGACATCTTTCCATCTCAGGACATTCGCAGTATCTGATGTCCTCGATTTCCCTTCCTTGTCATCTTCTTTAACAGATTATTCCGCTGTCAAGCTCGCCGAACATTCTCCACCCTCAAGATTGTCATCTGCATCGCCAAGTACATCATCATTGTTGCTTGTCATTGATGCTGCGGCAGACTATTTCACACTTAATGAGACACTTATGGATCACGTTCCGCCCGTCGTTGTGGATATTATCCTTGACCCATATCTCATGAACATCTTCCCCAAATCCCTAGTGCCCACCGCCCTGTATGTTGCCTTGGCGACAGTTGTTGCTTGGTGGGCATTCCGCTTCGTTCAATCCTGCGTGAGCGGAATTGTTAACAGCGCGAATATGGAGACGAATACAGAGAAGAAATCAAAGTAATAACCCACCATGATTCTCATGGATGGACACTCATCCATTTTGCAACTACAAAATATCCTTAATATATTGGTTACAGACCAATATTTCCAGCTCTGAAGACACAAACTAGCATCGAACTCTGAATATATGGACTAAAAATCTGCTATTGTTGCAAAAGTTCCATTTGATATTCAACATAGATATCCATTCAATGCCCCCAAGTAAATGCCATCCTGTCTTTAAATGCCCCAATTTTTTATTTTTTTCGCTAGACCGACACACGCCATTTTGCACCGTGAAAGGCCCAGTAGAGGAATAAGTGAGACCGAAAAAAAAAAAAAGGAAGGCCCAACCAAGGCCAGTCGCAACAGAAATCTCAGTAGTCCCTAAGCACGGCAACTAATTCATCCAACCTAGCCACTTCGCCCAAGAGCAACTTCTCCGTATCCCTCCATTCCTTTAGAGTTTGTAGCTCCGCTGCGGACAGGTAGCGGTCCTCATTTCCCTTGACATCGGACCGTTCTGTCTTTTCAAGGAGAAATTTCAACTTTTCTCGTTCAACACGTATTCGTTGAAGGCATCGAGACATGCTCTTATACGTATCCTCAATTACCATGAAACGAACTCGGTCAGGATCGTAGAACCAAAGATACATTGTACGGGACGGCTGGCGCTGGGCGTCGCGCGGTACTTCCTGCAGCTCCACAAAGCCTGCGCTGGCCATCTGACCCAGAATCTGGCGGAGATCCTTCGAAGCCATTAGACTAATCTCTTGTAGGCGTTTCTCGTCTAACTTGCCCTTGGCTGCAAGAACTCTCACAATACGGACAGCAAAACCGCCAAAGCGGGCTTCGATTAATCGCTCGAGTTCCAGATGTCGTAGTTTTTTCGCGAGGTGCCGATATTCCACAGCCCATGTAATCATACCCGCTTGCATTCGTCGGGTGCAGAAGAAACTCGGCTCTGCGGCGAGGAAGGAGAGGTGCTGATCAACCAAATAATTGCGGCTCGGACCGCGTCGTTTCATGCTGACAGGGCCGCCTTCCTCGTCTTCATCATCCTCATCCTCTTTAATCCCATTGATATTATCGGGTGTAATTCCGGCAATTACCCCAGCAAGATCCAAGTCAATGTCAAGGTCTCTAGAAATGGTATCCAAGCGAATCGAGACTGAATATTGTTCCGCTTCTTCTCCTTCAGGAATAGCTTCTACATGTTCACGACACGTCGGAGTTTGAACTTCGATGTGCGAAAGCAGTGTTTCATATACTTGAGATGTCACTGCGCTTCCATTCTGGTCGGCTAGCTCAATCAGCCGTCGGTTTCTCAAGGCAACGTTGAACTTTTCATAATTGACCCGAATTACCATGTTAGGCTACTCATGGTCAGCATTCCACTACCATTAACCTGAGAAGCGAATAAACAACTCACATCCAATGCAGCCATCTCATCACTATGGTAATCATCGTCAGAAAAGTCATCCCCATCATCCTCGTCCTTGACATCATCCTCTAGAGGCCCATCAAGCTTTAGCCTTTTCCTAGGAGCAGATGAATCATCCTTTCGGAGGCGTCGTTTTACCCCTCGTAGCAAGCTCGCCGATGGAAGTGCCCGAGATATCCTACCATCAGTCCATTCTTTAACGAGCTTCTCTGCGTCCTCTATAAGCTTGGCTTCCAGCTTGTTACCCTTCAGGCCGTAGGAGTCACCGTTGCTTTTTGCTGCCTTAAGCGCTGCATCGAAATTATCCTCAGGGCTCTGAAAATGTTGATTGCGGACACGAGTAATAAAGCCAAAAGCAGCAAGCTGTTGCAATATCGTCTGGACCTGAAGCCCAGGGTCGGAGTCATGGTAACCATTGGGTTCCCGAACGGGTCCGTCTTGCTGGTAATCGTGCGCATGATCCGTACGGTTTTCCGTGTCATCATCCACGCCATTTACATCTTCGCCTTCTTCGCCGTGGACACCATTTATGCCATTTGCTTTCACAGGACGTTCGTGCCCCGGTTGGAGTTCAGGCAGCGATTCGAGATAGCTGATTTTCGCATGGCCAAGTGCCAGGAGGGTAGACACGATGCTGGCTGCATGGTTACCCAGTCTTTCTTCGACCAACTGTATAATCTTCCCCGATCTCACCAAGTTATAAGCGGACCTCCAGTTGGATTCGTAGTATGTGATACCATCGTCGAGGGAGGTACAATGGAAGACGAGATGCTGTTGGACGAGGACGGCGAGTCCATGCTTGACCTGCCGGGGAGACAGGTGGGTGTTCTGCACGATTCGAGGGAGCGGTTGCCGGCCATGGTTGAGCAGGTAGATGAAGATGAGCTATGAGGAGATGATCAGTTTTGAAGTTCCCGGCGGCGCTTAGTTCCGCCTCGATCCCGTTGAAGACGTAGGGATAATACGTACAGCGTATAGCTCTCCAAAATTATCCGTAATTAGAAGCTTGCAAAGCTCTGCGGCATACTGGTTGATCGCATCAGTTATCCCGCTTTCAAATAGCTGGGGTGGGGGGACTGGGACTGGATCAGCAGCGAAAAGGCCCCGACTCACCTGAGACATCTTTGCGAGCTTCTAGAGTGATGCCGGCCCCTCTAGAAGATGTCGTCGGGGTCACCTGCGGTCCTTCATCTGCCAGGAGAACGAGAGAGAGCAACGAACACGCGCACAGTACCTGCAAGAATGCCAGGGACGAGGCCGACTCAAAGCAACTTGCTCGACGGCTTTTTTGGCAAAATTACCGTGGTTTGCGGCCAGCGATACGCCAGCGATACACGAAAGGATACCGCACGTGACTCCAGCGAAAAGTATCGTCAACGCAGCCAATCAGCGCCGGGGTGATCAAACCTCATCCCAATTGGCGTGTTCCGAACAACTGAGATTGAATGTTTGGAAGGCTTTTTGAACCGACGCAAACGAGGTCACCCGGTCTTCTCGACTCGCGCAACCCCATCCTCCCCCGCCAATTGCTCTTCTTCTTCCTTGCTTCTGTCTCCTTCCTTCATCATCACATGCGATGATGCTGTCGCGAACCTCCTTCGGCCGGCAAGCCGTACGGGCTTTCCGAAAACAATGCCTGTCCACCTCTCAACGGGGCATGGCCTCCGCAGCCGCTCCAAAGGGCTACGACTACGAAACCACTGAAGCCGCTGGCGTGAAGCTCGCTTGCCGGGACTTCCCAGCCCCGACCACAACATTGACCGTCGTCGCCAAAGCCGGCTCGAGATACCAGCCATTGCCTGGATACTCCGATGCGTTGGCCAACTTTGCGTTCAAGGTGGGACGATTTCCCCGTATTCAGCCGGAAATGTAGACCGGAGTGTGTTTGGAACATCAGTAGCTGATAGAATTTCCTCAATTGACAGTCAACGACGAAAAGATCGGCGCTACGGATTACCCGAGAATCCGAATTGCTTGGAGGGCAGTTCTCGGCTTACCACTCGAGAGAGAACGTGGTCCTCACGACGAAATTTCTGAGCGCTGACCTTCCCTACTATGCCGAATTGCTGGCGGAAGTCCTCTCAAATGCGAAATATTCAGGTAGACAGGCGTTTCGATGAATCAAGAGGGAAAGATGCTAACCTGGGTATTTAGCCTATGAACTCAGCGAAGTTGTCGTTGATCACGTCAAGCTTTCCCAGCAAGAATTGGTCGCCAACCCTTCGCTCCAAGCTCTCGATGCTGTTCACAACGTTGCCTTCCACCGCGGACTCGGAAACCCACTGATCCCGTCTCCTTCGGCTCCTCTGAATGTTGATGCCGACGGTGTTGCCGCTTTCAGCAAGAACGTATACACCAAGGCCACTACTGCTGTTATTTCAAACGGCGCCAATGCAAGCGAAGTCTCAAAATGGGTCGGCCAATTCTTCTCCGGTGTTCCCGCTTCCCCCGCATCCGGTGCCGTCGCTAGCGAAGCCAGCAAATATTACGGAGGCGAGCAGCGCATCGCCAGCCAAGCCGGAAACGCTATGGTTATCGCTTTCCCTGGATCCAGCTCTTTCGGCACCAACGGCTACAAGCCCGAATTCAACGTCTTGGCTGCCCTTCTTGGAGGTCAATCCACCATTAAGTGGTCCACTGGCTCCTCTCTCCTCTCCAAGTCTGTCGAGGGGGTCTCTGGTGTCTCTGTGTCTGCCAAGCAGGCCACCTACTCCGATGCTGGGCTTTTCCATATTACTATCTCTGGTCAGGCTGAGTCCGTTGCCCAAGCCAGCAAGAGCGTCGTGGAGACCATCAAGAAAGTTGCTTCTGGCAACATTGCGAGCGAAGATATTAAGAAGGCGATCGCATTGGCTAAATTCCGTGCCCTTGAATGTGGACAGAACCTCACATCCGGTGTGGAGCTTACCGGCTCTGCTCTCGTCCATGGCAGCCAGCCATTCCAGATTGCTGGGGTCGGCCAGAGCATCGAGAAAGTTACTGAGCAGCAAGTTAAGGAGGTACGCATAACCGTAATCCCCTTTCAAGCAGTTGAGTAAGAAAATGATCAAGCTAACACTGACATTTTTTTTCACGGTTTTTTAGGCCGCTAAGTCTCTTTTGGCAGGCAAAGCCTCCGTTGCCAGCGTCGGCGACCTCTTCCGCATCCCCTATGCCTCTGAGCTCGGTCTAACTGTGTAAATATATAAAGCCATCAAATATCTAACATACCCGAAGCTAAACTCATTTCTGTTTCCTCCTTCGTTTTCAAAATCTCCTACATTAAAAGCAAACACCAAAAAAAAAAAATAAGACAAAATATTTGTTGGAGGGCGCATAGAGCCGTTTCCATACACTCGTCTCCCTGACAAGCTGTTTTCCTTTAGAATCATTCCCTGTGCCTGTCCAGCGTCTACTTCGAAGGCTTTTTCATTTATTTGGTGGCATCTCTTTTCCTTTTGGGCTATCTATGAAAGGGGGACGAGAAAACGTAGCGAGTTTAAGTAGAAGGGGGGACCAAGGGGAGAAAAAGAGGTAATGAGGAGCGTGAGAAGGGAAACCCTCGACTCAAAAGATTGTTCGAATAGACCGCATGTACTGTACTTGTATTAAGAATGAGAGTGCAAATTTTGATTTTTTTTTTTTTTCTGGCTCAATTGATCCAATATGGTATAAGTATTGTATTTGGTAAGACACAAGTCATTAAAAAAAAGACTACAATACAGGCAGTGTATGTAATCTAGAGAATTTCGTCAGATTATAAAACACACACGGTTATTCTATGCAAACACTTGTGTTTAACGAGTAAAAGCAAGGATTGAAATGGCGACGCGTCGCACAAGGCCCAAGATATTAGTTTATAGCTTCGTGCCTAGTGTTTGGCAGTGACCTTGTCACCGGTCAACTTCTCGACAGCTTCCTTAGCCCTACAGATACAGTGGTTAGCAGCAATTAAACGACTTGATGGTGGGAAGCATACATATCACCGAGAGCGACCATGCAGACTGTCTGCCAAATACCGAGACCGATGCGAGGAGTCACACCTCGGTACAATCCCTTGACTCCATTGGTGCTATAGATGTATTTCAAGGTTTTACCCACGGTCAAGTTCTTGGGGCGGTTGGGATCTTCGGTCTTGCTCTGCATCTCAACTCGAATAACCTCGATAGGCTGGTTCCAGGCTGACAGACCGCCACCCAGACCGCTAGCAATAACCTTTTCGAAACCGCTGAGTTTCTGGCCGTCTTCTTTGCCAGTAACTCTGCGGATCGCGCTTTCAGCCAATCGAGACAAGCCGAATCGTGAACCCCAGTTGGTAGTCTGGCGGATGGCGACCGCATTGACTCCCCTGTTGATTCCGCGAATACCTTCACGGCGATAGATATCCATGAAAGTAGCGAAGGTGCTGGGAGGCTTTACGCCAGCCGCAGCCATCTTATGCTTGGTGATCTCTACCGTCTTCATGCAAGTGCAGAAACCCATGGTTGCGTATGCCTGAGCGACACCGCCTGCCATACCTCCGCCGATTCCCGCAATAAAATCAGATGCACCGAAAGTCTTCGCGTGATATTCGGCTTCCGATGCCACGAAGAGGAGGACAGCACCTTTGGTCGATGCCTCAATCCAGGCCCACGGAATGAGTCCTTGAAAATCTATATCGTTCAAAACTTATTAGCGATGGTTGCGGGCTCACTATCTTAAAAAAAGGACACCTACAGCCGAGAACACCGCCACGACCCCAAATCCGCCCCATGGCTCCCGCAAAGCTATCGTTTCTGTTGGCAGCCATGGTTGTCTTGATCACTTCCAGCGGCTATTCAATCAAAAGAGTTAGCCATCCATTAACCAACCATACAATAGAGGGAAAAGTTACCTGTCCCAGCGTGGTGACCCTGATCGGTTGCGCAAACACAGTGTCAGCACCGCTGCTCTCAAATTCCAATTGACCTCCAGTTGATGTGGTACTACTACTTACTCGAACAAGTTCAAACCGGCGCCAACTAAGCCAATACGAACATAGATCAGCAAACTGGTCTTGAACCAAGCAGTTATAACAGAATTGTTGTAAGAGAATACTCACGCAGCAAGTTGCTGAACTTGACGGGTTTCTTCTCGATAGTTCGAGGAGCGCTGGTGGCGGAGGAAACCTGAGCGGCGGACATCTCTTGACACTGGGACGCTGAAAGGGGCCCTGACCAAGGGATGAAGGGGGCGTCTTCGCCGGTGTTGTTCTGGGTTTTTAGATTGGTTGTGGAATTGGGAGCAGAAGCGTCGCCTCTACTGCTGTTGTAGCCGAATGGGGTGGTTTGGAAGGCGAATGGATGGGGGCAAAACACGCAACGACGGCTGACCGTGAATTCAGTCCTGACTTGGTCTCCGAAGACGGATCTGTATTTCCTTGTGAAAGTTTTGCGGGATCACCGTGGTAAACGGGCGGAGTTTCCTTTACTCCGTGTTCTCTCTGGATAAGGAACGTTTTGCTCCGTAATCTGGCGGGTTCAATCGTTTAGCCAAGAATTCCGGATGCCGCGAGCTCGGGGGAAGCCCGTCCCCTTTCTGCAGCCGAAAAAGCCCTTGTGAAACCCATAAAACTCACCGAGGTAAAAAAGCAATGGAACGCAGCGATGCTTACACTTGAATTTCTGGAGGGCGGCGACAACGCTCTGAGCCTTGACAATAACAAGAATTTCGTCAATAAAGAGAAAAAAGAAAAAAAAGGGAAAGGAAGCTGAAGATCTGGGCTGAAACTGCAGATATAAACTCTCCGACCAACGAAACCTCCCCTGGGGCCAATGGCTGCTGACTAAGTCGCCCAACGCGAGCCAATCTCCCTCAAACAGAGCAAACATCCTCAGAACGGACTAGCGGCCTGTGTCATCCACGATGGTGTGATTTATGTGCTAATCCTTATCAGGAAAGGTTCCCGATGACTCAGCCAACAGAATTTTAGTGTCAGGGCCCTCCGCGAATCAGAGGCCGTGTCCCGGCTGTGGCTGATAACATGGCGTTCTCAGCCCAAGCTCTTGGGAAGAGCGAGCTGGGCTTTGTTGAACTCAACAGCCAGCTCGGTGCTCCCAACAAACACCGCCCGCGACGGACAGCGAAGGAACGCGCCGGAATCCGAAGGTTGGGGGCGCTGTGTGCTCATCCTTCCTGAGGCATGAAAATTACAATGCCACTGATGCTGCCTGTAATAGGCAAAGCTGTAACGACCAGATGAGTCCATGAGAGGAGACGAGATGCAGAGCAGCACATAAGTGGCCTCATATTAATACACTGGTTAAAAAAAAAAAAAAAGCAAACTCGCAGTACTTGGACTATACATAAATCAATAACCAAGAACCTCTACCCTACACCTCCCGTTTGAACCCTGAGAATCCCACTGGAAAGAAAAGAAATTTGTGCTCGACGGAAAAAGTAAAAAGCGGAGGGTAGACAGTTTGGAAGGGAGAAAGCGAGCTCCCTAAAAGTAATAAATCGTGCGAGTCTCATGCCATATTGAAAACGCTGCAAAGCCAAGGGACTTGGATCTTTACAACTTGGCTCCAACCAACTTAGCATAAGCTTCGGTGCTGAAGGACTTGGGTCGCTCAATTGGAGCACCGAGAGCACGGTCAATGATCAGCTGTGGCAAGACGCCGAGCGCACGAGACACACCGAAGAGGACAGTGTAGTAGCTGGCCTCAGTCAAGCCATAGTACTGGAGGAGAACACCAGAGTGCTAGAGACGAAATATTAATTTTTGCGCGACAAAGGGAGGAAAGGAAGAGTGAAAGGAAACTCACAGCATCCACATTGGGGTAAGGGTTCTTAGTCTTGCCATGCTCGGTAAGAACGCCTGGAGCAATCTTGTAAACCTGGCTGACAAGCTTGAACATGGGGTCATCAGGCAGTTTGCGGAGAGCAAACTCGCGCTGGGACACATATCGGGGATCGGTCTTGCGGAGGACGGCGTGACCATAGCCTGGGACAACTTGGCCGGCATTCAATGTAGACCAGAGGTAGTCCTTGATGGCCTGGTCGCTAAGATCATTGCCAATGGCCTTCTTCATCTTCTGAAGCCAGACAAGCACTTCTTGGTTGGCCCTAAAATACAAAGTCAGTATATTCAATTACTGAAGAGCGCCCGGGTTCAATGGCGACTTACAATCCGTGGAGAGGACCAGCAAGACCATTCAAACCGGCAGCAAGAGAGAGCATAGGAGAGCTGAGAGCGCTGCCGACAAGGTGAGTGGTGTGCGCACTGACGTTACCACCCTCGTGGTCGGAATGAATAGTGAGGTAGAGACGCATGAGCTCAACAAAATCCTTGTTTTCTCCGTAGCCAAGCTGGTTGGCCAAGTTAAAGCCATAGTCCTTGTCCTTCTGGATCGGGGCGACCTTGCCATCCTTGAAGACATTGCGGTAGATCTTAGAGGCAATTGTCGGCAGCTTGGCGATCAAGTCCATGGAATCCTCGAATGTATACTGCCAGTAGTCCTTCTTGTTGATACCCTTGGCATAAGCCTTTGCGAAGGAAGACTCGTGCTCCAGGGCGGTCACGGCGAGGGAGAATTGGGCCATTGGGTGCAGAGTGCTTGGGCAGCGGTCGAGGAGCTCTTCGACGAACTTGGGGACATCGGATCTAGCAGCCCACTCGGCAGAAAGCGCGCGGACTTGTTGCTCGCTGGGGATTTCTCCGGTTAACAGCAGCCAGAAAAGACCTGTGTTTTTGGGTCAGTTTGTCCATTTTCCAAGCTACAGCACATTTATTCTCATCACAAGAGGGTTCCGCTGACCTTCTGGAAGAGGCTCCTCGCCCCCTGGGGCCTTAGGGAGCAGCTTCTGGCATTCAGGGATCTAAACAGCTGGTCAGACACTTTTTTGAAGGTCTTCATGGTAGTTCAAGGTGACGTACGGTGTATCCTCGGAAACGAATACCCTCCTCGGAGTCAAGAACAGATCCCTAGATACAATTAGCATCCATCTACGGTTCTCTTTATTCAAATTTATTCCGCTCACCTCCCAGACGAGGGATTTCACACCACGGGCACCTCCATAAACTTGGTCAAGGGTGACCTCTCCAATGACCTTGGAGCCGAATTCCCTATCAATGGCAGTGAATTGATTAGCTACTGGGCATCATAACCATCCCTTATCGCTAATCGCTAATCTCTCACTTTCTGAGCTTCTTCACTTTCTCAACCTCGCCGGGAAGCTTGTCGGCAAAGGTGTCTTTAAGGGACTGGAGCCAGCATCGCGCGCTCGTTAGCGTTCCGCACCTATATATTATTGTAATTCGGAACCACTGACCTTGGTCTTCGCAGATGAGTAGTAGCGAAGGCAATTGAACGCTGCAGACTGAACCACCGGCTTCTGAGCGATGGAAGTGGAACGGAGCGCAGCGCTCCCCAATCTGAGTGTGGATGCCATAGCGGGAAACAAACAATACCAACAAACCAAAATAATAAGGCTGTCTCAAAAGAAAAGGTAGGAGTGGAGGAGAGAGTGGGAATTTATGAAGGGTGGATGAGACGAAAAAAAAAGAAGAAACGCAAAAACAGATTCCGTCTTATTCTTGCCGTGTGGTTGGGGGTACAAGGGAATAATTTTTTTGCAGGCATGGCTCCGGAGCTGCAAACTGGTCCGTTACGGGACGGTACGGCCTAGCGACCAGCTAACTATTATTCGTACACGCTGGGACCGGATAAAGAGAACTGTGTTATTTTACGGTAACCCTTGTAATAATTAACGACGGATATCCCGAAGCACGGTCCTTTTCCAGTTATCATATCATTAAACACATAGGCGATGGGTTTTCTATGCATATTATAACTTTGAAGCCCTTTCACTGTCAAAAATGCTATTCCTTCCATCAAGAAATAACCTGGCGTCGTCAAAATGTGACACGTTTGGCCAAATATTACTTATAGTCTTCCATGCCGTGCGTTCTTTACGCCCGAGCCGATGCTCCCGACGACACCAAAATCACCTCCCACGAGATACGAAATGTTAAACCATAATGCCGAGGCCCTCCATCAATGATAGTGCGGCGTACAAGACTTGATACCTTTCAACCCTTACTTGTTCTTACTGCCATTCTCCAAGCCCAAGTTTTCGTTTGCAGACGCATACATACGGAGCAATGGCATGGGTAACATGTACGTATTTTGTACCCTGCATGGAGTCTGGTACGGAGAAATATATTCGCTCTTATCTGGGGGCCGTTCTGTGGCGCAGCGCCGGTGCCTGCTTTAGAGCCCGAATCCTAGTTGAAGAAGTGATCGAGAACCAAAGCCAGCCCTATACATACACAGAACTTAAGACAACCAAGCCGAATTCTCTGAAAATGTATTCCGTACACTGTATTCCCTACTGCATACATCCTCTACAAACCTCTACTGCGAACCGACCAATGACGTCAGTATGGATGGCCTTTTACCGATTTTCAGTGGCCATTCTCGGGGCAGAGATCTGAGAGCCGTAAAATAACCTACTTAATGCATTTCCAAGAGTTCGAGAAGGAACACGGTATGGTGGTAACACAGATAATTGTTGCTAGAGCTCATGAAAATCAATCACGAAAACGAGGAATATCGAGGATTAAGTCTACCGAGGCTTATTTGCGCTGTCCCAATTTCGCTGGGCAAGATCTATGATATTCTTGTCAAGACGAAAACCCAGACTAACAACGGAGTCGTTGGGTATGCATCGATCCAGCATGCATTAGGTATATGGTCCATTCACACGTGAATAAGACTCGGATGGAGAGATAATTCCATTGCTATATACAAAATACTCCGTACATGCACAGTCGGCTAGTGGCGCAAGGCCTAAGTAAGCAATCGTAGAACTGTCGACAGGGGCTGCTCAGGGCCAATCTCGGGTTTATGTTGGCGAAAATTCGCTCAACGGCTGAAGGCAGGGGGAAAAGTGGAATCCGCGATTCGCCGTATATATTCGGCAATCATGCGTCAAAGACAGTAAACTCCATTCAGAGGAAGCAATATAGACAAAGCAATGTCAGACTGCACTTCAGGCAGTCTAGACAAACCTACAAAGTCTTCCTGTGTGAGGTACTTTCATAATAACTAGGCATACCCAGCCCATTTGTGGCCTGAATGAAAAGCCACAGGTCAAGTGCCCAAATTATTCTTAAAAGACTTGTTAAAAGATGATCTTAACTTCACAGAACTAGGCTGCATGCACAGCGATAACCGACTCAAGAAGTTTGATGGGATCTTGCAGCCAGATGGGTGTCCACCTGGACCATCACGTGAGGATAAAGTTCTGCATTTGGTATAGCGCCGCGCAAGCGAGTGCCTTTCTTCCTCCCAAACTCCCAAGATCTTCAACCCTCTTTTTTGGTTCTTCTTCATCCAACATCATTTCTTCATCAACCTCTTCTTGTTGTAAAACCATCCTTCTTGTCCTTTAATCTTATCCAATAGGTGAATCAGCGACTGTACATGACTTTTTGACGTCGATAACGTCCGCTGTTTGCCTCGGTTCGACTGTAGGCCATCGCTCGTTGTCTATCTTGCGAAGAGCTGTAGTGCCACGCTTATCCATCACTCAGGTTCAAATCAACGTTGAATTTTATCGCCTCTATCACTTAGATACACTTTACCAACTGGTTTGAGGCCAACGAAGCCCTGTTTCGTGCAGTAGATCCCTCGAAAGTGAGCCTTTTTTTGGGAAGAGACCTAGCTGCTGCTCTTGTCGTTGTGACGCGTGGGAAATTGGCCAGAATATTTTCAGCGTCAGCTGGCCTCCATAACATTTTGAACTGGTATCAACTTCATTTCGCTCCAGCATGTCATCTGCAGTAGCAGAGCTGGATGGCTATCTCCAATCCATGCTTGCCCTCAAGCCCCCTGGTGTATCAGGCTCGAAGATAAACAGCATTACCTCTCTGTGTACAGCCAATGTCCAGGTATGGCCGCGCCTTTCTTTTTGACGACCGAATAATTATGTCGCGATGCGCAGCTGCTTTTGAGAAACACCTCGTATTTCGAACCTAGGCTAATCCTTTTCCTCAATGGTTCTTAGTCCGAGTCTGTCCTTATCCAAAAAATATATACCCACTTCAAAAGAGCACCAGGAACACACAAGCTTGGCGTACTCTATGTCGTAGACTCTGTAACTCGACAGTGGGTTGATTCCGCGCGCAGAGCTGGTCAATCAGCAGATAGCAATGCCCCAGATGGCACTTTTGCCGCGGGTGTCAAGAGAGTGACCGATTTACTTCCAGTGCTCATGGCCGATATTATAAACAATGCTCCTGAAGATCAGAAGGTACGCGTACTCTTAGATGCGGAATGGAAATCAATATTTATCAAGAGAGCCTTTCATATTGAGCCTTAAATCGCCTCATTGAGCTCCATCCCGGTCATGTGTTGACCTAGACAATTTCTAACCTGTATACCCCTGCTATTATTTTCATTCCCCCTTCCACAAAATAGGTCATCTCTTTTGCTCTCTAGCCCGCTTTTCATGCTGTGACTGGATAGTTTCAACTTACGTATGCGCGTTTTCTTCATTTAGGACAAAATCAGAAAGTTGGTTGATATCTGGGAGCGTGGGGCCACTTTTCCAGCCGCTATGCTCTCGTCTTTCAAGGAAAAGCTAAATGCACCAGTATCTCAGAGTAAGCCCTCCCCCTTCGAACTCAACGCGTCTTCCCAATATGTGGTTTAGAAACGTATATCATCGGTCAGAACCACTGGGAGGAGCTTTCTCGGGGTATGTGAACCCAGAATTCTAATGTATGACTTCTTCATAGATGTGGAATCTACCACTCCCGAGGGATCACCAGCACCCGGTTTCAATCCACTTTTGGGGTTAACTCAGCAACAACCACAGCAAGGGGCTTTGGCCGGCGGCTCGGCTCCAGCACAATCAGTACCAGACACCTCAAGCATTTTGAAAGCTCTAGCAGATATGGCTAAACAAAGTACAGCGGCTGCGCCAGCTGTCGCAACAGCCGCACAAACTAGTCCCAATAATGTATTAAATACGCAGAGTGCAGCTCCCGCTCCGGTCTCTTCGTCTGTAGAACAGACTGCGCAACAGTCAAACGGGCAAGGCGTAAACCCGTATGCTGGAAATCTTGCCGCTCAGTTTGCAGGCTTGAGTAATCTCGCCCCAAATATGTTTCCAACCCAACCGCAGGCTCAGCCTACGAACCCTCCTCCTGCTCCGCAGAATCCACTTGCTGCTCTGTTGCAGCAGCAGCAGCAACCGGCGCCGCCGCCGCCTCAACAGCAGCAGCAGCCTCAACAACCCATTAGCACTCTTACGCCTGAATCTCTCCAGCAACAACTAGGCCTTATCCAACTGCTTGCCGCACAGGGCATTCCCCAGGAGCAATGGGCAACTGCACTGCAAATTTTAAGCTTATCTAACCCCGCCGCAACTACTGGCATGGCTCCCCCCAATCCCGCTGTTCTCTCTGGCTTTGGTCAGCCAGCCGCTCAAAATGCATGGGGTGCACCAGCCCACGATACATCATCATCACGTGACCGTGACCGTGAGAGAGATAGAGACCGTGATAGAGACCATGATTATGTGCGCTCCCCGCCTAGCCAGTATCGTCGGCGCTCCCGCTCTCCTGGATGGGATAGGCGGCGTGATGTTTCTCCTCCCCGTCGTCGCGATAGCCCTGTTTATGGGGAGTACCATGGAGATTCTCCTGGTCGTAATCGGGCTGATCCACGTGATATGAGAGGCCGCCGTGGTAATGACTATCGACAGCGTAGCCCTCCGGGAAGACGTCGCCGCAGCCCGACCCCGCCTCGTAAGGATAACTCATTGCCTCCTCCCGGCCCCAAATTTGTTGAATGGGATTACTCTATTGGACAAGGAAATATCAAAGGTATCTGCTCAGACATATGCCGACCACTCATTTCGTCTTTGCTAGTAGGAATTCTTGTTAACATGTTTAATGACTATAGTTCTCAGCCGTACCCTGTTCGTTGGTGGTGTTACGTAAGTACCTCGATTCTGCCTGTACCTCGTACACTATGTAGGCAAATCGCAATGCTAATGTTAGCTAAATAGATCCTCAGAGTCGCATTTACGGACCCTCTTCAGCCGTTATGGGGCAGTCCAAACGTGTATTGTCAATATCGACAAACGGCATGCTTTTGTAAAGATGATCAGCCGACGCGACGCAGTGAATGCGCGCGAGGGAATGGAACAGTACAAGTCTGGCGACATGCAACTTAGAGTAAGCCTTTTTTTTTTTTTTTTTTTGATCGTCGATCCCCTATTTTGGCTACTAATTCTTGATGGTAGACTCGTTGGGGCGTTGGATTTGGTCCAAGAGACTGCAGTGATTACCAAACTGGCATTAGTGTCATCCCAATCGAACGGCTAACTGAGGCGGATCGTAAATGGATGTTAACAGCAGAATACGGTGGCACCGGCGGCAAGCCAATTGAGAGTGGTATGGTTGTCGAAGAACCCGACATTGAAATTGGCGCAGGAGTATCTTCAAAAGGTATGTGTGCTTACATCTTGGTTCGAGGAGCACTGAAATTGACGACCGGAGTAGCAATCAGTCGAAGAATGGCCACGGATCAAGGAGGAAAACGCGGTCCTCAGTCGTCTCGCCCGACACACGATCAAAACCGCTTCCGTCGGCCTGAGCGTGGAATGGATGATGGACCTGCGAACGATCGTGATCGTGATCGCGACAACTCTAACGCTAATAATGTTGCAGTTCCTCCAGCTGTCCCTGGATTCGGTTTCCAGTTCCCCGGCATGCCGATGTTCCCTCCAGGCTTCATGCTAGGAGGCGCACAGCCATCCTCGACTACGACAACTCCTCAGCCTCCTCCACCCGGCTCAAGCAGTTAGATAAAAGCCAAATCCTCCTAAAATTACAAGTTGCAAGTCTACAAATAGCGATTTCGAGAAATGGCGTTAAGTTATTTGTACCTGGGGAAATGGCATCTAGGAAAGCCCGTTGACTCTTTATTCATGGCTTTGACCCTTTTTTTTTTTTTTTTCCTTTTTCTTTTCGCATGTACTCACAGATTCATTGAGGAAGTCTTTCCTGGTAATCCTTTACCTTTTTTCCTCTTCCGGGTCTACATTGTGTGTTTATTTTCCACTCAGAATCCTCTTTTTTAATATTCTTTTCCAGGTTCAAGAATTTTTACGTGTGATTGTTCTCTTTTCCTGATGCGGTGGGGCTGGGTTATATGGAATGTCTTCTCTTCAACCCTGTACTTGTATGATTATTAGCAACTTTACCTTGTCTAGTGAAAAGCTACCGCTATTTCAGCCAAACTGTGCGCCTTTTTTAACATTATTCAAGGTGATGGTCTCATTCTTTGTAGGAGGCAGAAGAAGCCAGAAATGACTATATTTAGACAATGCGGTTTAGATCAGATTATAATACTGTAACAGCGAGGGCTAGGCCCCAGCAAAGAAGCTCCTTCTTATGGCCTTTCCAAGCCGCATACATCTCGCCGGAGGAAAAAGAGAGGCAGACATCATACATATTTTTTCTATATTGTACCTCACCTCTTGGCTATCTTTATCCTGGGCCAGCTTACATGCCCTTTTGGTCTCCCATATGCCAATAGCTGAACAACGATAAAAGCAATACCATCGCGTTGTAGAGAATGGGCGGATAGATGTGGCTTTAGCATCCCAGTTGCTGGCAGCTCAACACCATTGAAAGCCCTTGCAGTATAGGTATCTGATGACAATTATCCTGAATATCATACCTTAACGCCATAGTTACAACACCAAAAAGGGCGCGTGGAGATGCGCATAATATCTGACGCGGCTGTAGGTTCTCGAATCCGCTTTAAAAAGTACCCACAATACTGCCTCCTCTGAAAAATTGTGCAAGGTCTCAAGTTCAGCTGTTGGCCGGGTCCATTTCCACAAGGCCATGTGAGCTTGCGGCTGAAACAGCAGGGTGATGTCACCGGGAGTATGATGTAAGGAGATGTAGTTTAACAGAAGAGAAGACCTGGACGGTTGCTAAAATCTCATTGTCCAGGTCAGACGAGCGGGAACCATCACGGAAGGTCCGTGATTATTCCACAACAACTGAACTACGTCAGGTCCAGCAGCGCTGAAACTCAGCATTTCCCTGGCATTGTATGTGACAAATTCTCCTGTAATAGCTCAATAAGAAACAACGTGCCGAGTACCTGACGGCATGTAGATCCCGAATCGGCCCACCCACGTTTCCCAGCTCAGAATCCCATTATGAACTGGGGACGAATAGAAATTTTTTTGTGGGAAAGGGGAGCTCTGCAAAAGATGGCAAATAAAATAATGCTATACGGGAGGCGGCAGCCGTGTGCTCAAGGTAGAAATGGGTCATTCCTCATATTCAAGCTATTGCGGGTCCCAGGGTTTGATCCATCGGTATCCACAGCCCATGGTCCAGTCTGTCGGTCAGCGCATATATTTATCCAGGAACATATTTTTTTCAGTGACGTCTTATCCCGTCAGATCCGAGAAGCACACAAGTATGACTTTGCCAGAGACTTTCATTATATTTTATTGTGGTCCCTTATTGGAAAAAAAGAGGGGGGAAAGAAATCCACCGTACTTTTAATAACGTCTTCTCTTATAATTCGGAGTGTTGCAGTGGTTTTTATGCCCATCGGGGATTCCTCGGAGACGTAGTGATGCACGTTCTTCCGTCATCCAGCCTTATAGGAAGCTTTGTCCAAACCAGCTTCGCAAGCAAATGACAAACGGGCGGGAAAGCGGCTGCTGCCGAACTGGGTTTGATGTATCCGTAATGCACGTACTCATACGTTGGTAAAGACGGATGTTGGCAAGTGGGACAGCAAGCCGGTTGATTCAGGGCCAAGAGACTGCGCCTGGAAAGCTGGGACAGAGACAAGGTGGCGATGACTGCTCCCAATTGATGCTGTCTGGCCACGATATAGTCGACGACTGAGCGAGGATGCACCTCGAAGTTTGTATGTACTTCATTTTAAAAAAAAAAAAATTCCCAACCAAAACAAGCTACCCTAGAGTCTTGATTGTTTTTATAAAAATATAGCCCTTACTTTTCTTTTCAAACGTACAGAATAAGATCAAACCATATCCAGACTCTTTCATAGAAGGACGATAGATGAAACGTTATCTCCCGTTGCCAATCTTGACAGCCAGATCCTTGGTGTGTGCGAACCAAGATAGCCGTTTCCAAGCCGCGGTCTGCGCAAATGCTTAAAGACTCAGGTTTCATGGAAGTAAATGATTATATTTTGCCGAAACGACGCTCCGTAGATGTACTTCAATCCAGCTCAAAGAGGTCTGGCTGGGAGCAATGCTCTCCTGCAAGTCCAGGTCCGTACGGAGTAAACGGCGAGGTAAGCAGCTTTCGTACCCGTCGATCAGTCGGTCAGGGCGACTCCGGGGAATTCATCTAAATGTACTCCGTAGACAGAATTAAAAAAAAAAAAATGGGAGAAGCAGGAGACGGTGGTCAGTCTCGGAAATCAGCTGAAGAATAGGAGTTTGTCGTCATTGCTTGAGGGCACTTCGCGCGAGGAAGACAGCCATCCCGGCCGAGGAGATGCTGCTGGCCGGCACAACCACCTAAAGCTCGTGACGGGAAGAAGCTGTTCCTACCCACCGCGTAGAGCGATCGCTGCCAGGCCCGGTTCATCCCCTTTTTCGTTTCAAGCTTCCCGACATGGAAAGCTGTTCAGGTTCAGGGGCTGAGAGAGGTAAATTCAAAACAAACAAACAGACAGACAAACTGGCTCAGAGCTATCCCTGGCGATGAAACCCTTCAGCCCCTGTCATGACGAATTTTTCTCGACTCCTGAGTTGTTCGGCCGGAAACGTTTCGCGAAAGGAGACAACGGCGGCATCACTTTCTCAAGCCAAAAAAAAAAAAAAAAAAGGGTGGAGGATTCACATTGGCAAAGCTTGTCTTTCACCCGTCAATTATTTGGCGTCGATCGGTTGCCTCTGATAGTCAGTTACACAGAAACCAGAACAGCTCTTGTTGCTGATTTAATACGATGGCGGTAATATGCCCCAAGTGCCCCGTGCATTTAGATTGGCTGCTGCTGCTTCGCTAGCCTCGCATGTCTTGCATTTGATTTTGTTATCCAACCCCGGAAGGACAAGGGTCTGCGGGAAAAAGACGCCTCGCCATTTGATTCTTGAACTCAGAACTCGGTAGCACGTTCTTCGTGCTAATCCCGGAGAATTCTTCCTTCAAGCAGGTTGCTATTCAACTTTCCGGTCGGAGAATCGTTATCTGCTAAAAATCTTTCAAAAAGCGAGGCAATTGATCCCCTATCTGTATCTGAGCTACGAAGCTACCAAGCAAGAGCAGAGGAAAACCCTCGTCACCTTGTTCGTGTCTACTGAAGAGCTAGCGTAGAGTGACTACGGGTTGAACCGGGCCGGGGATCGCACAGGGCCGTCTCAGCAGCCGCTGTGATCCCACATGGCATGCGCTCGATCAGCGTGGCAGCTTCGCACACCGTCAGACTTGCACAGCAAATAGGAAGCACAGAGGTCTTTTACGAACCCCCCGCCATGACCTATTTCTCCAGCCAGGTAAGGATGGCTCGAGAATTGAGATCACAAGACACGGAACGACGAAAATGTCCAATCGCACGGCGCGAGTAAAGAAGCGTCGCAACCAGCGGTTTGGGAAAAGAGAGCAGGGAACGCTGCTTGCGAATCAGCCCGTCGTTTGCTCCATTATGCGGGAATGAGTTAATTGTTGGCGTTTGCCGACTGTAAGCATGGTCGTGTCCATTCACTGCGGGTTAACTTTGACAGCATGATTGCTTTTGAATGCTTGACCTTTGCCAATTCGAGCCCCAGACTTCGCTCTTGAAACACCGTTCTTTCGTGTTGTCTGCTCTGCGGACAGTTCCATCCCATGCACCTCAGTAAGTTACCACTAAAGGCCGACCGGGCCTGTGACTCGCGCGGGAGCTACGTATTCAGTTACCTAAGCTCGCGAAACCTTCTTCCTGGACAAAATTCCCTCCCCCTCCCCCTGGCTAGAGCTACTATACCCTTGCCCCGATCTGGAGATTGCGAACGGGGTGGTCAGGTAACGTTCCCCGTCTTGTTAAAAAGCCAGAAATTCGCGCGTCTTCGGTGTCGGGACCGATTTGCGGTTGACGACAAAGTGGAGTGTGGATGCCTTACTCTTTAAATCAAAGCCGACGTCCACGAGCCCAGGCAATAAATCAGGGGAAATTCCAAGAGGGGGGGCGGACTTGATTCAACTCTGGGGAAGATGTTCACATCTCCAAACCCTTCTTTTTTTTTTCCCAGAGGCGGAAGTATACCGTTACGGTGGTGTATCTCAAATACCCAGCCCCTGCCGTGAGTCCGAATGCCACCGCTTTTCGACTCAATGGGCACGCCCGCGGAGATCCCAGAAAGCTCTCTTTAAGCTTCTGGAATTACACCAGAGGGTACTGCGGTATCGGCTGTTACATACCGCCAATACACTCCCGTACGTTACCATACATACAGTTCAGAGCTTCTTTGGGGGATTTACACAGACCACCCGGTATGCAGATTCTCTTATTGGTGGCTGGCAGATCAGTCTCAAGTCTGATGTCAGCCAAGACCCGTCAGGTTTGGCTTTTTTGGTTCTTCTAGAAGCCACGTCGAACAACCGCGCATCGGAGAAAGTGTTTTTCATTTCTCCGGCCAGGTTTTTATTTTTATTTTTTTATTTTTTATTTTTATAATTTTTTTTTTTTATGTGAGGCATTTTCCATTCCGTCTGTCCTTTCCTTTCCTGGGCGAATTACACTTTCTGGCGGCACGGAACTTCCAGCCGCGGAAATGGCTGACCCAGCCAATGTGTCATCTGGAACGTCGCAGCGGGCAAGAAGCCATGACCGCCTGTCGTCAGGATTTCATTCCGCCAGCCTCCTCACGCTGCAGTGGGTGGGCTCGGGGGACTGTGCTCTGGAATTCGGTTGTTGCTCTCGAAATTGGCTCGGCCGTTGCCCTGCAGTAAACTAATATGTAAGGGCGTCGCTTCCGAGGATATCGCCGACGTGGGCTTGGGGAACCTGTTTTTCATGATATTCCGCAAGTTTCGCACACGAGCGGAGACTCGTAGGTGAGGACCCCTTGAGAACCGGAGAAAAAAAAAAAGGAAAAAGGAAAAAGAGGGGTGGGAAACGGTTCCCCCGCATAAGACAGCGGCCTCGGGTACACTAGTGATATCAAGCGTTTCCCTAACCTTCTCCGAACCGTAACCTGTAGAACGTCCGCTGGGGAG